TCTTACACGTTACTACTCAGACTTGACCCCTCAAAACCATTTCTGAAAGTGATGCTAGGGAAATAACATTAGGTGCAGGGGACACAGGGCTAGATAATGCAGACACAGCCACTGCCCTCCAGAGATTGCACAGAGCTGGTAGAAACCAGTATTAAACAAACATATCCAAATGGCAAATTCCTAAAAAGCACCATGAAAGAATAGAACAAAGTATAAGACAGCATATAACAAAAGTCCTTAATGAGAGAGGTACCCAGGGAAGAATGCACAGGACCTAGGCTGCAAAGGAGCCCTGGGGGCCCAAGGGTTCAGTATTTGGCTGCTAACCAAAAGGTGGGCGGTTCAAATCCATCAGCAGCTCCACAGGAGAAAAGGCGTGGCAATCTGTTCCACGAAGATGACAGCCTGGGAACCCTATAGGACCGCTCCACTCTGTCACACAGGGTCTCTGTAAGTCTCAGCCAACTCGACAGCACACAAAAGTTAAGAATAAACTTTAAAGAATAATAGAAAATGTATGTATGTATTTGTTTTCCTATGTACACATGACCTAAATCGTCCTTTTTGTAAGAGGCATCCAAAGGAATCTATGCCTTCTCTTCTTGTATGCCTTCTATTTTGATTTTGATGGAACTTAAAGGAGACAAAAGTTTTAGAACTAAGTACTTTGTAATCTAATCATCAAAAATAAAAATAATTAAAAGAAAAAAATCAATTCTTAAATGTGTAATGATATGTTTATTAATCAACTATATGTTTACTTTTGATAAATCAAAAATGACGAGGTTTGTAAGCAAACTAAGTTACTACTGAAGATGACTTGTTTTCTCTACATAGCTTCCAAGTTTCTGGAGCTTAACAACAAAATGCTAGCTCAGGGCCAACTCTTTCAAATCCATCAGTTTGAAGATCTCAACATCAAATAACTTTATCAGAATTGCCTATTTGATTACTCGCTGAAAAAGAATTTGGATAAGGGTAAAGCCTTGGACTTCACCAAAGAAAACAACATTTGAAACGAGATACTCAGTTCTGGAATTTTGCATAAATATTTCAAGGCATCTTACTGGTTTTTTCAAAAGGTCATTAATTTTTTTCAGTGCTTTTCAAATGAAGTACATATACAATATAGTTACATGCTTTGAATAATCAAATTAAGGCAAAAAGTCTAGAACTTTTTCAAGGTCAGTAGTCATGCCAGATTTTGAACACAAATCTTTCTAACAGAGTTGGCTCGCATAGCTCAGACATTCTCAAACCTAGCTACATGTTAGAATTACCTGGAGAGTTTTGTAGAAAGTTCAGATAGACAGGCTCATGAGATTCTAATCTGACTGGACTCAGGTAGGACCCAGCTTGCTCGCTCACTCACTCTCTCTCACGGGCATGTGTGCACACATACACACACACACGTATGCACATGCATGCACACACACACACACACAAACATAAACATACACCTTGCCCAAAAGACATTAATATGAAGCCAAGCTTGGGAACTATTGTTTCGACTCGAGCTACAGCCCCAAAACAAACAAAAATTAACCAATAATCAATGCTGAAATTCCATTGAAGGAGCGAGATTCTCGCCTAATAAAGAATCATTCTTTATGACGTATTCATCTCATTCAAAACTTATCAACATTGACAAAATAAAATAAAAACGTCTGATCACCAAACATCCAACTCACAGCAGCACAAGGGGTGAAAAGCAAAATGGCTTGTCATTCCTTCTGTGCTGTGCAATGATGCCCTCAGGTATTACCAGCACTAGTACTGAGGCTGACGTAGCTTGCAAAATACTTTATTTCCGCTCATTTCTGTTTCTGTCAGACTTTCCATTATAAATTTCTTTTCTCCACCAATGAAAGCAGTGTGAGGCTGCAATTTGGCAAGAACATTTTAAGACTGGGTGTGACTTCTGTACCCCAATTTGATTTAAATTAGTTTTGCCATATTTAGTGAGAAGTGAGAAAAAGCCCGTTAGGCCACTTTTGCCTGTCTACTGCTTCATTTTCAAAACCGTTTCAAAAGTTTTAAAAAGTCCCCATGTTTATTTCTGATAATTCCAGTAAGATGCATTCATCAATTCAAATTATCCCGTTATTATTCTTAAGGAAAACAGCTTAATTTGATTTTGCTGCTGAAAACTCCACATCTTAAAAAGCCATAGATAGGTCTATTACTATCAGCTTTAAGTCCTCAAGAGAAACATCGTGGAAATATGTGTGTATTTTTTTAACCTGAAGTTTTGGGGAACAATATACATCTCAAAACAATCATTCCTTCCCCCAGGTCAGCAGTGCACTACCTGTTGCCTCCCACACGCTTTTCTCTGTAAGGAACAGAGAGCCACAAGCACCGACGGAGCTGTTCACCTGTAACGATGCTCCCTGCTTTCTGTCCACACGGTACATTGTCACAACACAGAACGTAGGCTCCGGAGCGCCTCTCAGGCATCTCGTCTACAGGTTTTCCATCCAGCAGCTTTAAAATGTCGTAAAAGGGAGAAAACAAAAGACTTCCCTCCAGAGAGCCACTCACCTCGTCACACAGGGGGAATCATTTCAGCTGTGATCTGCTATTTAGAGTTGAAGCCCACCACACCGACACTCTGCCTTGCTTTGGGGTTTGCATAGCTGGTGTTGTAGACAGGAATTCAAAGAACAATACAGCACAGCAGAGCGGCGCTGACTCACTGCAAGGCGCACCAGGGTCTGTTCTAGTCTCAAATTTCACGAAGAACAGAGATTCGGAACAGGCACGCTTTCCATCTTCAGCCCCTACTGCCTCACTCAGGGAAATTCCCAAAATGTGCTCTATCCCTTTGCCTTAAGTCATCACACTGTTCACGGGCACAGCTGAAGCCATGCTACAGCACAGAGACAGTCGACTCTTACAAGACTCACCACCCTGAAGCAGAAATAGGAATGAAGGAATCTCCACCCTCCACAGCTACAGTTGGAGACTTTTTAAGACAAGCACAGGCAGTCATGTATACGACGGATATTTCCCAGACACAGATATCTCCAGATGAACCTCTCAAGGCCCGGAAAACCAGCCATCACAAGACCCACCGGCCACCTCTACTCCGCCCCTCTGCCCCTAGCCACTTCTCACCTCACCTTGGATTTGCAAAAACAATTAACCACAGTTGCACCCGAGGGGAGTCTTCCCCACACACGAAGGGAGGGTCCGGGTCCCTGCACACACTCAGTCAGACTCGGGCCGGCTAGATGGTGCTTTCACAAGTTAAGGGGCCTCGCGCTTACTCAGCAGAGGAAATCTTGTGTCTGTGAGGAATCATGCCAACTCCTGTTAGTATGAAAGGATACAGGGGCAAGGAAGCATGTTCTCTCAGTGACCAGAAAAAGGGACCCGGCGAGACAGAGACCTCTGCCATGACCATCTGCGAAAAGGAAGGATGTTGTCAACTTTCTTCTCCCCAAATCTCTAGTGACCTCTGCCTTGACCCTCAGACACCAGATACACAGGAACAGGCCGTGGTGCAGGAACTGGGAGCTCTCCACCAGACACAGCGCTCAGAGGCTCGCAGCCCCAGCTATCTGGCCCCAACATTTGCACTCACATTCCAAAGATGTTTCCGCTGCACTGGAATGGCTGTAAATTTCTTTCCTGCAGAATTCTTTCCAAACAAGCTGCCATGAACTACGCTCCCCGGGCTGTCAGAGGCAGTTCTCAACCAAGCCACCATTCACCTCATCACAACAAATCTTTTACAAGCCTGACTGGTGGCTCCACCAAAGGAGTAAACTTCAAACATGCAAACACATACAGTAAAAAAAATAATGCAGCCAGAATTCCACCTTTAGTGACATATCACCAACGTATCCCAGGAGCTTTCTTTACAGGCTCTAGTAAATGACTAAAACTACTGTTTGCCTACGTTTTTCAGACAGACATTAAGCAGGTGGTTTAAAAGGCTCAGAATGAATTTTTCCTCCCTGTATCAGTATCATTGAAGGAAATGGGAGGACAGGGGTGGGGGCCTGTTCAAGAGGGCAAGCTAGCATACCTTTTCCAGCACAAAAAGGATATACATTCAGTCTGAGTGAACAATCAGAGGCAAAAGCTTGAAATGTTACAGAAGGTTATTAAACTGTGTCAGTTTTCCAAAGTAAGAAACCAATGCACTTGTAACAAAAAGTCTACCTACCTGCCTTTTTTTTTTCCCCCCCTAAATACATGTATGATTAATACCAATAATGAAATTAAAAAGAATGCCTCTAGAAGCACTCACTTGTCTGGAAACAAAGCTTATACTTTGGGCCACTGATAATATTTTTAGACCCGGCCACTCTCTGGAGAGTTAAAAGTATGCAAATGCAAGCGCGCAGAGACACAAACACACACATGCCATACCTTTGTATTACACTGGCATTTTATTATTTAATTAAAGTACTCTTATTTTTCTAGTTCACGCATGCTTCCCCTGAGACGGCTTTGCTGTTAGCCTGCTGGCCTTGACTTCCAGCCAAAAACAATTCAGAAACAAAAAGGGACAACAAATCATATTTCCACAGACATTTTTATCCCTCAATACAACCCTGTTTTCACACGACATCATACAGCCTCTATGAAAACTATAATTTAGGGCACTAGCCACGCAAACTCAGGGTCTGACACATGGCTGCCGGATGCATTTCCAGGGTAAGGAATTCTTAAGTTCTTCATTGCAAAGAAACTCTGGATAGCACCACTTTAACTGTCACTGCCCATTTGCAAACAGTGACCGGCTGATGAATTAAAAAAAAAATCAAACCAAGCCACTGAATTTAGTCAGGAGAAGGCATGTCTCTAAAGATGAGGTGTTTATTAGTTCAAGACTCTGTTATTTCATTGCTTTTTAAAAGAGGTTGTCATAGGCAGACAGTCGGTGATCCTGCCGCCACAGTCTCAAATGCATAATGTCATTTACAAAACACACTGAGTTAGCAGGTTAATTTTTCAACCCTTCCACCACTGAGATTCTCACTTACCTGGTGGCAACCCTGTAGGTTTGATTCTCTCCCATAAGATGAATATGAGCCCCTTTCTGTTTTACCTGCCAAGAGAAACAACAACAACAAAAAAGTGTAAATGGTGTTTTCCTTTAAAAAAAAAAAAAAAAATGCTCCTCCAGGTAACAGACATCTACTTCTTATCATCCCCGATGTTTACATACGTAAAGTAGGCACTACCAGCAATGTATGCAAGCAAGGAAAGGAATAACGCTTCCTCACTCTGGCTATGAGAGACTGGAAAAAAATATCCTTCATTTCTATTCTTAGCCAAACCGCTCCACACTTCCAAAAACTGTCATTCCAATGGCCTCCACTTTCTCCAGCAAACAAATTGTCATTCCTTATTTTCACTTTCTTTCTCTCTCACAAAATTTAGACAACTTCATTTTTATTTACACAGCAGGCAAATTATCTATGTAATGACCCTCGCCTAGTCATTCCCATTGATTATATTGACACTTAATGGTGAGGCCAAAGCTAATCAATCACAGGCTCTCCAGATGGTGAATTTAGCAAAGAACCGATTCAAAATTCTGAGTCTCTCTCTCTTTCTCTTTTTTTTTTTTTTCCAAATTCCCTTCCCCAGGAGTAAACCCCATCATGATCAAAATCATGATGGACTTCACATTTGGGAAAGAGGTTTTTTGGAAAAACAGCCCACCCTAAACCCAAGTTCACATTCCACCTATAGACCCAGCAGGACATGGGCTCATGGACTGGGAGTGTCTTGTTGGAGTTCTCATAACCCAATGTTATCTGTAGATGGCTTTACAGAGATGCACAGATACGGCCCCAGATGCCACGCGGCCACATCCCAGGATAACATGATGGTTGCTCATTTGTCTCTTCAAAGTATGCTTCGCCTTAGCAATCAGGAGGGCAGATAAAGATGCCACATCATCAGAGATGGAAGCCACAGGGTTCACGAGTGACAGGGTGAGGGCAGCAGGCCAGAGCCCGCACCGGAATCTCCCGCTGCCCAAGACTGAAGGAGACACCTTCATCAGGGTCTCTGGTTCACCGGACGTTGCACAGTATGCCTAGGATGGGACTACTCTTTTTCCATCTGAGAAAATTTAAAATGAGTATGATGAGGGGCTGAATGGGCACCCTCCTGAAGTATATATAACCCCAAAGATTTTCTCTCAACTCAACTGAACACCAATGCTAGAAGCAGCAGTAGTTGTTTTTTATTATTTAGTCCAATGATAACATTTACAGTATGCCTTCCTGACACCCCGACATTCCACGCCAAGAAGGGATCCTTCATCAATCTTATAGCTGGCCAAAGCACCCCTTGCATCTAAGTCACTGTATACATAAAACAGAAGGTCATTTCTAAGAAAGCCACACTTGACTCTTAAAATTAACCCTGATCTTCTAGTACTAACTTTTCTCCTGGTCTCAATGACTCTGCAACTCAAGACAACACCCTTCCCCACAGCCTTCTTCCGGTACAGTGTTCAGGGATACGTATAAAATCAATGGCTACCATCAGGTTCAATTCCACTGACATAAAACCCCATTTAACAGGCTGCTGGTCTTGGGAGACCTAAGAGAGTAACTTACACTGGATGAGGATTTCACACTGAAATAAAGACACGTTTACCTGTATGAGAAGTGTCCACGGTCCTACAGACATATGTACTCTTGTCAAAGTGCAATGTAAGCTACTCACACTCTTGAGCCTTCCTTTATATATTACTAGCAGAAGAGGCTCGACCTTTCCGAGCTATCAATCTAAGAACACAGCAAGCTAACTCTTAAGCTCTTGCATCTATAAAAGCTTCCCTACAACGACCACACAATCCACTGTGACATAACATCCACCTGCACAGCAGTTACACAGGCAGGTAGGTAGGCAGACAGACAGACAGATGAACGTTACTAAAATGGAATTTGTTCTGACTTCCGAGGAAACTGAACAACTAGCATCTTTTTGGTAATTTCCAGAAGTTGAATTGTAAAGTACAGTTGGAGGCAGATGGAATTAATGGAGACCTCCCCTCTAGGATGTCACCATCCAGTATTATTTGACAACTTGAATCCAGCACACACTGCACTGAAGAGATGAATTATTCTATGAAATTTTTTTCACTTGTACAAAAGTTGGGGCTATCCTTTTATTGTTTCAAAGCTTGAAAATTGGTGCAAATGGTAAGGGTTAAAAAGGAGAGAGAATAAGATGGGAGAGAGAAGAAAGGACAGAGAGAGAGAGAGAGAGAGAGAGGGAGACTGGGGGGGAGAGACAGAGAGAGCGAGGGTGGGAAGGAGGAGGAGGAGGGCGAGAGGAGGAAGAGAATCTGAATTCAGGCTGCACAGTCGCTGAAGGACTCCCGGCCACAAGGACCCAGCATCCTTTACTATCATATCAGATACAGACTGCTTAATCTTAATTTTGGTTGTTAAAAAATATTTATCCAGATACAAAAATAAACCCACTGCAAATTACAAGTTGTCAGGGTTAAAAATCTACTCCTGTTTGTGTGGGGGAGGATAAGAGACCAGCATAGACATGAATCATTCTCAGTAATTTGAGTGTTTCCATGACATCAATGGGCACTGGTCCAGCACTCTGTCGGAGTCTGCGAGGTACCAAAGAGGCAACCCAGCCAGCAGGAGGCTGGGAGGTGGACTTGTTTTCTTTTTCTTTTTTTTTTTTTTTTTCAGGATTATGCTCCTTGTAAAGATTTCATCTGTAGCATCCACTTTTACCATCAAATAGATCGCTCCAGAGATCATGAGCGAACACATTTCATTCTGATAGTGTAAGCCTTTAACTTTATTACATCTTTTTGTTCCCAAATTCAGCTATCAATCTGCCCTCAGAGCCTAAACCCCTGTTTGGGAACAAAATAATCAGGGACTGTGGATAAAGTCCAAGAATCATCTAAAACATAACAAATCCATTAACATAATTTTTAAAAAAATGATTAAAAAAAAGCAGCCATTTTAAAAGGACACCTCAATTTCTTTGGGGGGGGGGTGTCTTTTTGTGTAAATTTCCCGTTAAAAATTAGCCATGGTCTTGATGTTGATTTTCTGCTTAAAATTCACTGGAACATTTGTTTCAGATAATAAAATTTTCAAGAGTGCTGATAACATCTCTGAGTAGGATCTTTAAGTAACTATCTGTGCTCATGAACACAAAAGCCCCTAAATATCTGCGCTTACTTGATGTCAGGGATGGTTTTGTCACCGAGACCAACTGACTGATGTGGCAGCTTCCGACGTCCTCTCCCTTTCTCCATCGCCCACCCCCCATCCCCACAACCACCACGGAGCTCTGAAAGAGCCCGAGATTCCGTTTTTCCGATATTTAAAAGAGATAGCAGTGATGAACAAACCCGGCGCATTCACTGCGGAATTTTTCGAGACAACCCTTCAGTACGAGAATGCGGCAGCCGCTGCGGACATTTTTTGGCACAAAGACAATGGTGGCAGTGCCAAGCCCCATGGCTAAAACTACTCAAAAGAGGCATAAGGGTAGCATTAATCGCTCAAGTCTTTTACTGCATGGAGTACTGTTGTCCATATTTTAAAAACTGAAAGTACCCGTTAGTAACATTTGTCATAGGCACATAAAGGGGGGTGGGGGGATGACTCTGAAATATATACCAGAAACAAATCTTGTCAGACGCTTGATTCATTTTTATACCTAAAAGGACCAAATGTTAAATTTTGCTGCTGGTGACGATTTGCCGTGCACGAGACGAATGATAGGACCTAATGGAGCACGCTGAGGCTGAATGAAAGCTCGAGAGAGGATTTCATAAACTGAGTCGACATATTGGCTAAACAACTTTCTTCTGCAAAAATGATGTATACAAGGAACATGTAATACTATGTCACAATTTTTTAAATGAAACAAGTAAAACGCTGTAAATGAGCAGACACAACATCCGTCAATCAATCCTTCCAGAAACAAAGGAGATCGACACCACACGGGGCCTTTTCTAGAACAAGTCAGCGTCGACTAGAGCAAACAATCCAGAAAGGCAACACGTGTTTTGTACAAATTGAACCCATCAGCTGTTAATATCTATACATCAACCTCATTACTAAAGATGGTGTCAGATAATATAGGACCCACTTGCTCCTTCTGGGGCCCTTTGAAATGCTCATCTCAGCAGAAATATAAACTACTTCCTATTCTTTCGAAGTCCAATATTTTTTATCTATTCAATAATCCTTTCTCTTGATGTCCGAAGAAGGGGGATGAAACCATTTTTTTGGAGGGGGGGTAGTATGATTAAGAAATGTCTACAGAATTCCAAATGTGTGTATTCTTATATTTTTGCCACTTGACTTCCAATATTTCTTTTAATATACCCATGATATCCTATTGTAAGAGAGTGCCAAGAAGACTCAATGGGAATGAAAACATTGTACGAAGGAAAAATGGTCTTCAGACATGAAAGGACGTATCACCCGTGGTATATTACTACACCTGGACATGGCAGTTCTAAGCTATGTGGAAAGAGCTAGAAACAGACAAGAACAACTTATCAATCTAGAGATAAACTGTGATCTAGATGAACCACTGGTGGTTGACCAGCAGCATAACAACAGGGTTATGTTTTGCTCTTGGGCTATATGTTCTTAAAAGCCATTTTTGAAAATTACATATTAGTGCCAGGTATTTCAGCCACCACTGGAACAGATGCACCCGTATGGTAGAATTTACCGGCCTGTGAGCGGCCTCCATAAAGATTTCTCTGATGCTGCAGGACAATACCAAGCAAGGCTATTTCCCTGCCAATCTTCATTCTGGGAGCTGAAGAGTGAACCTTTCGTTCCCTAGCATCAGACTAGGAATCACATCAGCAACATGTCTGACTCAGAATAAATCTCTCCTCCTTGCCCCACCTCCAGTCCATCCCTGGCTATCCTTTTTTTTTTTTTTTTTTCCCTAAGAGAGGAAGGGGATAATGAAAATGGCATTTACTTCAACAATGACTGGGATGGTTAGTGGTTCTGAACGTGTCTGTGGGATGATTATTTGCGGTGTTTTCATCTTTTCCACGCTTGCCTTCTCCCC